CAGACGAGATATATCTACCAAGCTAAATACCAATTCACTTCTTCACATTGCTAGACGGGCCTGACTGTAGTGTCTTACCAGTTTATCGTAAGAGGATCAGAGCCAGTCACTGGACAGGTGAAGACTAGAGAGACTGGCATATTGTCAGCATCTCTCTCAAACACAAACTGGTCTCGAGGATCATCAGTGGAGGGGAAGGCTGGGGGCTCTCCTGCATTGGTAATGCGTAACTAACACTGGGCAGCCCGCCTCTAATTGCGATGACACTTACCAGGGATTACTTGTCCACCGGCGGTCCACCCAAACAAAAGTTGAAGGGCTAAGAGATACACGACGGGCAACGTGATCATGTCGAAAATATATACTGCCTACACCAAATGCCTCGGAATGCAGGGTTAATAATTATTTTAATACCCTCAGGAGATATCGCATTGAGCGCCAACCCCCCCGTCGTCCCCCCGCGTACGATTGCGCTCCCGGTTATGCGCATGCGCAACGCGACTGCCTTATCATTAACGTACGTGTGAGTGTTATGGGGTCTATCAAGACATCGTAATGGCAAGACATCAAACTTCCCAATATCCTCAAAGCCACTGTACTGTACAATTATACAGAGTACAATAGTATAGCTACACATCAAACAAGACGACTTGTAGACAATGGAGAGTACAAAACAGTAGGCCTCCCATTATTGCTGTTTCCTCCAATATTATTGTAGGCAGGAGCCTCGCATATGGCCCTCCGAGGGACGTCATAGACAGGTGTCGTCAGCTCCTCGTAGTCATCATCTACACCAGCCTCCAGAACCATCGCCTCATACATGGCCGCGTCGTTATCAGGCATTGCAGCTCCCTCCTCCTCCACCTCTTCCTCTTCTTTTTGGGGTGTTGCTTCACTGGCAGTCTCCACCTCTTGCCGCTGTTGATAGAGGGCCTCTTCCTGCGTCAAGGGTGTGAAGGTTGTTTGCTGTTCTTCTTCGACAGCTTCATAGGTTATGCAGTTGTCGTAGGTTTCGAAAGTGTCCTGACCATGTAACTGGAGTGTATTGCTCGCAATAGGTGGCCTCAGGTCCACTGTTACAGGAGTAGTTGGCGTATAAGTCGCTAGAAACAAAGGAAAAAGAGGATAACACAAACAGAGGGCATCTGTACGGTGCCAAAAGCTCACGGGATTTGAAGTTTTCTTCAGGGCTTTCGCTGGTGTTGTTCCTCCCTCTCACCACACAGCTCACAGCTAACACACAGAGCACCCCAAACAGTATTAGTCCACCAACTGAGGCTCCAATCAACACAATCAATAGCACTATTGACCCTACCAACATCAGTCACATATTAACCAGTGAACAGTAGTACATTGATAATAGGCTCCTACCATCACTGCCCGAGCTATCTGGGCATATGTGATCTCCTGGAACGGTAAAGACTGTGGAAGGCCCAGAGCTTCCGAATGTGTTGCTTCCGCTGACACTGATGTTGTAGGACTGAGAGGAGAGTGACAGATTAGGGATGAGGTGTGTCTCGGAGCAGTGGCCTCCATCAGAAGAACACATCACTGGTAGTACCACCGCATCTCCTAGCACACTTTCATTGGCAGCACTATAGACCTGCATACATTGTAGAATCATTGCTTACTGCATTGCCGATTGACCTAACATACGTGTAGTATGAACTGGAAACTGTCCAAGGTTGTGTTGCCCACTCCAGAATAGTTAGTGGAGAGTGTCAGGTTGACTCCATCATTTGAGCAAGAGATAAACTCTGGCTGTTCAGGGACAAATGGAATACCTGCAGAGGTAGTTGGTTATTCAGTTGAGCCTGCTAATTTGATACAGAGAATCGGCTGGCTTGTGAGAACATTACCAGTGGTGAGGAAGAAGCCAGGACAGTCTGACGTGGTGGAGCCTTCATCATTGCTAGCCATAACTCTGAAGTAGTAGGTGACTCCAGCCACTGGTAGAGGCATGGAAACTGAGGTATCAGGAGGGTAGTACCCCCTCAACCCCGAGCCAGATCCACTAGATCCACTGCCGGACGATGGAAGAGGGGCATATGTAGTGCTGTCATATCTGTAGAGGACCAGGATGCTGGTAATGTTGAGTCCTCCAGTGTGAGTATATCTCCAAGATATGACCAGTTCCCTGTCTTGAACCTTTGGTTCTTGGCAAATTACCAGTGGTACTGGAGAGAGTTTTTATCATAATGTAAGTTAGCTATTGGTAGTTTCCTACCGGTGACATTGGTTGTTCCATTGTCAGAGTTGCTGGGTGGACTGGTAGCTTGCAACAGGTCTTCAAACTGAGACACAGCCACTACTGAGAATGTGTACTGAGTCCCTGGCAGTAGGTCAGTCACATTGGCCTCTCCTTCACTGCTGTCAAATGTTCTTTCCTCCACCTCTCCTCCCACCTCTCGTACCCTGACAACATGACTAGAGAGAGGAAGGGTTGCCCAAACCAGCACTGGGGTTGAACCACTGCAGATATATCCATGTGGCTCCAGTCTCTTTGATTGATAGATCTACTGGTGCTACTGGGGGAACTGAAAGAAAACTTTAGTGCAGACACTCAGCTTAGCACAGGTGGACTCACCAACTACCACCAGTCTTATGTCTCTCCCCACAGGCTGGCCAACAACATTAGCACCATCATAGACCTGAGCTGAGCAGTTCCAGTAGCCAGTGTCATTCTGTGTAGTACTGTTCAAGGTTAGACTGACCACCTCTCCGGAACTACTAAGAGATGTTCTTCCACCTGCTGTAGCTACCCTACAAGTAGGAAAGAGTGGTAAGAACTCGAAAACAACATGTTTCCTCATGTTTTCCTACTTCAGCTCTTTTGTGAATAAAAGTTTGCCTTGGGAGCATAGAAAGGTTTACGTAAACAATGAGAGGAAAGGATTGCATCTCTTTTGTCAACAGCACCCCACCTTCCATTGTTGTCAGTCCAGGTGAGGGTGGGGAGAGGGTTTCCAGAGAGACCAGTACCACAGACCAGAGTGGCTGACTCTCCCTCCTCTACTGCCACTGTCTCTGAACCTGGACCTGAAAAGTTTGCTCCAGCTGTTTGTGTGAGCACAATGTTATTCCCACATGACCGAAATTCAGAGAAGACTTTCATTATTGTAAAGTCACAACAAAAATACTCACTGATCTCTTTTTTTCTCTTTCATTTGTGTAGTTCATGCAATGCCTGTACACAGCACTTTGCTTGCAGCACCATATTTTTGCACCCACTGCATGAGTTAACCTACCCTACTCACATCTTGGTGTACAAAGTACTACCAGTCACAACTCTAGAGTTGCTAGTACAGGGAAGAGTAGTACTCACTGTCAGATATTAATAAAACACTCACAGAGGACATTGAGAGTGAGAGAGGCAGTGGCATTGCCGAGAAGAGGGCCACCATTCAGCTGGTAGTTGGTGGCTGAGAGGACGTAGAGCCCAGAGTCAGAGGGCTGGACTGAGCCAATGAAGATGGAGGAGTAGTTGAAGACTCTGGTGGACGAGCCACCCGCCACCTCCTCCCCGTCCTTTGTCCACGAGACTTGAGAGGGGAAGGGGAAGGCCAGGGGACTGCCTGGCTCTGCCATGTCCATACTCAGCTCCTCATTCTCTCTCTTCCTCACTTCTCCTCTGCCAGTCAGGACTGGGGGGTCTGTGTTACAAGAGTTTATGTGCACAGTTCAGAGGCAGAGGGATATGTGGTAGTAAAAGTAGAACTAGTGTGTGTATGAGAGGTCAAGGGGGAGCTAACTCTTTATTCTCTCTATTGACTGCACTCTAGCATGCAGATTGAAACATGGCTGCCACCCAAAAGACTCACAGTATATCCTGATTGTGAAGTTGGCCAGTGGTTCCTCAAATCCACAGAATATGATGGTAGCATCCAAATCCTCAGTCAGTGATACAATAGTGAGGATAGTGGTGTCTGGTATCCCAGATACTCCTAGAGTCCCTTGAGATGATAATAAGAAATTGCTGTCACTACCACTTGTAATGGGCTGACGTCCTCGACCCTCTTCTCTGTCCAAAGATGTTTGTTTTGACCAGCTAGTGGCTCTACGACTACCACCTTCATTGACTTGACAAACCAAGGTGATTTCTCTGTCCCAGGGAAGTACCCATTGACACCAGGCACTGGATCCGTGGTGACGGTGAATTGACACTCTCCTGCAATGGCGTATATACATGAGTGAAGATTGCATGGTCTATTTTTACCACCTTACCTGTTTGAAGCCAAGAGAGTAGAGCTAAAGATATGGCCACACAAAGCCACATCTCTTACCAGCTTGTCCTAGCTATTACACTGCAGCAAATAAGCTGATGCTTCCGAAATATGCGAGCCTAAAGGTTGCGCATGCGCAATTGCACGCATTCTGGAACTTGCTGCCTACGCACGCGTCGGATATTTCACGATGTGGTGGTCTTGTTCTAGCGTGATTATACTAACATTTTCCTGCGGACTGCAACCAGGTCAGACAGTAAGAGATGATAAGGAGTGCCGATTTTCTTATTCTGTTAGCTATAGATCACGCCAAGAGTCCATTAGCTATTTCTTGCAGGAGAGTGTCAGTTCTCCGTCACCACGGATCCAGTGCCTGGTGTCAATGGGTACTTCCCTGGGACACAGAACATCACCTTGGTTTGTCAAGTCAATGAAGGTGGTAGTAGAAGAGCCACTAGCTGGTCAAAACAGACTGCTTTAGACAGAGAAGAGGGTCGAGGACGTCGGACAATTACAAGCAGTGGCAACAATTTCGATCCCAATTTCTTATTATCGTCACAAGAGAATATTGGTCAATTTGGGATACCAGACACCAGTATCCTCACTATTGTATCACTGACTGAGGATTTGAATACTACCATCATATTCTGTGGATTTGAGGAACCACTGGCCAACTTTACCATCAGGATAAACTGTAAGTTAGTAGCAGGAACTGTGGTCATGAACCACCATGTGTGGCCTTCGTAGTATCAGTGGTGTGGAAGGAGAGTAGAGTATTAGGTTAGTGGGTCTCAATATTTTATCGGGCCCGGAGGATAATTTTAGGGCAGTCCATCTTTGTGTCTGTACTATAGACTGTAAGGGTATATTCTTCTTCTAGACCTCACAACCTTACCAGTTTAATATGTACACACATGCAAAATGGGAGTTGTGAGAGTGCTGTGTATCTGTCCCACTAGACCCCCCAGTCCTGACTGACAGAGGAGAAGTCAGGAGGAGAGAGAATGAGGAGCTGAGTATGGACATGGCAGAGCCAGGCAGTCTCCTGGCCTTCCCCTTCCCCTCTCAAGTCTCGTGGGCAAAGGATGGGGAGGAGGTGGCGGGTGGCTCGTCCACCAGAGTCTTCAACTACTCCTCCATCTTCATTGGCTCAGTCCAGCCCTCTGACTCGGGGGACTACGTCCTCTCAGCCACCAACTACCAGCTGAATGGTGGCCCTCTTCTCGGCAGTGCCACTGCCTCTCTCACTCTCAATGTCCTCTGTGAGCATTATTATAATCTATCATCTAAAACGGTGTAGTTGGGGCAAGATATTCAGGTCCAGGGTCAGGGACAGTGGCAGTAGTGGAGGGAGAGTCAGCCACTCTGGTCTGTGGTACTGGTCTCTCTGGAAACCCTCTCCCCACCCTCACCTGGACTGACAACACTGGAAGGTGAGGTGGTGTTGATGAAAGAGACGCAATCCTTTTCCTCTCCTTGTTTATGTAAATCTTTCTATGCTCCCAAGGCAAACTTATTCACAAAAGAGCTGAAGTTAGAAAACATGAGTTGTTTTCAAGCTCTTACCACTCTTTCCTACTTGTAGAGTAGCTACAGCAGGTGGAAGGACATCTCTTAGCACTGGTAGAGAGGTAGTCAGTCTAACATTGAGCAGTACTAGACAGTATGACACTGGCTACTGGAACTGCTCAGCTCAGGTCTATGATGGTGCTAATGTTGTTGGCCAGTCTGTGGGGAGAGACATACGACTGGTAGTAGTTGGTGAGTCAACCTGTGCTAAGCTGAGTGTCTGCACTAAAGTTTTCTTTCAGTTCCCCCAGTAGCACCAGTGGATCTAGCAGTCAAAGGGATTGGAGCCACATGGATATATCTGCAGTGGTTCAACCCCAGTGCTGGTTTGGGCAACCCTCCTCTCTCTAGTCATGTTGTCAGGGTACAAGAGGTGGGAGGAGAGGTGGAGGAAAGAACATTTGACAGCAGTGAAGGAGAGGCCAATGTGACTGACCTACTGCCAGGGACTCAGTACATACTCTCAGCAGTGGCTGTGTCTCAGTTCCAAGACCTGCGAGCTATCAGTCCACGCAGCAACTCTGACAGTGGAACAACTACTCTCACTGGTAGGGACCAACATAATATTCCAAGCTGATTCTCTCTCTCTCCCACAGTCCCAGCTCCAGTGTGCAGTGATGTTCCTGAGGTGGAGGACACACGACTGGCATGAGATGGACCTACAGCACATGGGAGGAGCTCCCATCACTCAGTCGATGTCTACTTCACCACCACAACTGACACCACCAGAGTATCATTCTCAGATGACTCTCAGCAGTGCTGGGGGATGTGGGGGCCAGAGAAAGAAGGACACCATTCCTCTACCTGAGGCTGGCTCACCTACCTGTTCTCATGACAGCTACTAACAGCCAGGGAACCAGTGCTGTGGACTGCCCTCCTCTTACTCTTGACATTGGTGGGTCCTCCCTCTCTCTCATCTTTCTTGGAATGTGAAAGTTTAAAGCTGTTACAGTTGCAACCAGCCGCACATCTCATTACCACTCCCTCTCTTTTTCCTCCTTTCCCCTTTCTCTCCCACACCTGTCACCCTGTCTCCCAGGTATCCACAGACCAATCCTCCAGTGGTGGACTCAGTAGCTGGAGGTTCGTGATCTGTTGAGACTCACCACACTTCACTCTGGTGTCAGAGATAGCTCCACTGACCAGTTCCAGTTTATCCTCCTGGTGAGCTTCCTTTTTCTGTTCCTCTCACTCTCTCCTGTCTACAGCTGTTCCCTCTTTCCCCCTCCCTCCTCTCTCTCCCCCTTCTCCCCTCTTACCTCTATCTCCATATGCATGCCTACACATGCAAACGTGGCTGCAAAAGTGTGTATTCATGGCAGAACCAAAAGCCATGAATAGCTCTAATCACGGTGTTTTACGATCAGATCAGGGACGTGAGTGACATGGGAGGGACTCATTGAGGTGGTGGTGAGTCAGCATCGTGTGAGTGTGCAGAGGGTCTGTGAGTCTGGCCAGTGGGAGAGAGGACGGGAGGGA